ACACACACACACAGGGCAAACTTCTTCTGCTTTGAGTACAGTCTGAACAAAACAACACACACACAAAGGTAAAAGATGATATATGCACTTATATATATATATATACACACACACATACATAGATACATACATACACAGACATATATATGCACACACAGATTATGTAACAGGGAACAAAATTTCATCAAATGAGACTGACCTCTCTGACCCACAGATCTGGTGACCCCGAGACACACTGACCTTGTGAGTGATCTTGACATGACCCCATTGACCTTGAAAATGAATCCACCCAGACCCTGTCAACCCATCAACCTTGTGACCTCATTGTGACTAACCCCGCTAACATTGCGAATGACTTGATTGTAACCTCGTCGACCCATCAACCTCATAACTCCACCATGACCTCCCTGACCCATTGACCTTGAGAATGACCTCACCGTGACCCCATAACTCTACCATGACCCCATCAACCTTGAGAATGACCCCCGTGACCCCTTTGACCCTCTGACCTTGCCATGGCGTGGAAGAGCAGAATGTCCAGGCGGTCACAGTCACGGTCAGATACACAGGCCAGCTTGCTGCGCTCCGAGGAGATCTTGTCTGCCTTCAGCAGGGCTTGCTCAGCCTCCTTATACCTGGGGGGGGGGGGGATGTAGGTGTGTGGGATTAGTTTTGTTTTCTTAAGTTTTACGTAGGTGTGTGGGATTAGTTTTGTTGCTTTTCAAAATAGTTTTTACAGCGCTTGCAACACAATTAGGTTACATAAGGTGAAGAAGATTGGTTTTTTTTTGTTTTGATAGGGCCTAAGTGAGAAAATTGTAGGTTTGGGGGCTTAGTTTGTTTGTTTTTTTAGGTTTTACAGCACTTGCAACACAATTAAGTCATACAAGTGCCAAAGATTATTTAAATATTATGTTTATAAATTATTGTGAACGATTGTGGACTATTGTGAATAACATGACAATTATTTTGCTTCTTCATTGGAGTAAAGGTTTATTTTATGAAAAGATAAACAGAGTAGAGGTGAGTGTGTGAGGGGGGAGGGGAATAATGCGTGTGTGTGTGTGTGTGTGTGTGTGTGTGTGAGTGTGTGTGTGTGGGAGTGTGTGTGAGTGTGAGTGTGTGTGTG